TGTGTTGGCAGTGGAGAGCAAGAGGCTTCAAATTTCCCTTACTCTAGGTTGCAGCGAGCGTGTTTGGCCAGCAGTGCAACGGATGAACGGGTCGACCCATTGGGTCACAGTGTCAACACATCTACTAGGCTGGGTCGACCCAAAAACTTCTAAGTTGGTTGGGTACTATGGGTCAGTGTCTGGGTCGATTTGTGCTGACCCACTTGCATGGCTAGTTTGGGGACAAGGACGAATCCAGTGGTGGGGCGAGGGGCTCAAGCCCTCCTGCTGATCCTATGGAGCCCATTAGAGCCCCTCCAAGAATTTTTGTCATGGCTACTTTGAGACTAGAGGTTGAAGATGATGAGTTCAGCCCCCCTTAACTTTCATCTTAGATCCGTCACCGTTTGGGGAGGACATGACTAAATCCATTAAGGAAGGTTTAGGTGTATAAATCAAACCTGAGAGGTATTCTTACAAGAAACTGTATTAGTCTTACATTGATGCAATCAATAGTATCCCTGGTTGGTGACTTTTTCATTCCGTCAAGTTTAACGGGGAAGGTAGTAAATCTACCATGGAGCATGTTAGTCAATATCTTGCATATTTAGGTGAGGGCAGTTCTAAGAAGCAGCTAGAGTACGTCTGTTTCCTTTATACTTTACTGGAACGTCTTTACCCTACAATTCCATTTATGATTGGGAGCAACTAGAGCGCACATTTTATGAACACTTTTTAATGGCTCCAATAATTAAAATTGTCTCACTTAACATCAGTCAAGCAAGGCCGGGACGAATCAATTTTGATTATATTGTAAGGTTTCGAGAAACTATAAGCCAATTTTTAGTTTGACTATTTCTGAAAAAGATCTTGTTGGTTTGACTTTTAATGGTCCTTGCTCTTATGTCAAAGAAATGATAGAGCATATGAGTTTCCCCCTATCAATCAACTGCAGCAAAAGGCTTCGACCGTTGAAAGTTGAGGTAAATATGTTGTTGAATTTATATGGTTGTCTCAAGTCAAACCACATACTTGTGCTTCTCTTAAATCACACTATCCTAACATGCACACTATTGACTACAATTCTAATAGCCCGGACGATAAATCCAGAGAAATGTATGTTGTTGAATTTATATGGTTGTCTCAAGTCAAACCACATACTTGTGGTTCTCTTAAGTTGGTGCACTTTAATATATCCAGATGATAGGATATCTGATGAATTATTTAAGAGTGGACATATCAAAGCATCACATAGTTTATGGTCATTTAAGGCGTTGAAATGACAAGTATCTATAAATGGTATTGACGATTCTAACTTTTTTTCGTTAATAGGTTCAATCATCAATGAGGGACAATTGAATCTATGTGTTATGTAGGCTAAAAGACTCCTTTCTCTGTCAACATAATTGATCTTCAGTATGCTAGAGTATTAGTAACTCGGCGAGGCGGCCAGGAAGCAGGGTAGAAGACAAAAGGTGCAAGAGAGAGGGTTTAATGTGCGCCAGTGATCGCTATTGCCGGTAAGCTATGGAGGGACGAGATAGGAAGCTTAAGAGAGAGAGAGAGAATATGGAAGGAAGAGAGGGTGGATAGAGAGGAACATTGACACGTGGATTTCATATGTGTGGTCCACGTCAACACACAGTCGACATGGCATGTCAGAGCATAGGACGGGTCAGAGCCCGAACCAATTTTGGCACCTATGACAAATTCAGGTGGTGTTTAGATCTAAGACGTAAAGTTTTGAGGTGTCACATTGGATGTTATATGGAGTGTCGTATGGGGTGTTCGGATACTAATAAAAAAAATTACAGAATCCATCAGTAAACCGCGAGACGAATTTATTAAGCCTAATTAACCGTCATTAGCACATGTGTTACTGTAGCGCTTTATTGTCGAATCGTGGACTAATTAGGTTTAAAAGATTCGTCTCGCAAAGTAGTCATAATCTGTGCAATTAATTATTTTTTGAGTCTATATTTAATACACTATGCATGTGTCAAACATTTATCAAAGGCGTAAAGTTTTGATGGAGGAATTAAAAAGGGCTCAATAACCTAGATAACACTCACGTGTTCGGAGATCCATTATCAAAATTGAGAGCCCGTGTCTCAAATAGAACCGCCGTACGAGTTTAGTCTTTAGAGAGCCAAATATTAAAATTGAAGAGTTGGAGTCCCGAATAACACCGCAGTGCAAGTAAGATATCGTTCATGAATAATAGTACTCAAACATATCAATGATGAACCGGTACGCTATTGAATCACCTGGTCACGTCTACAAACTAGGAAAGGTATTAGCGTCATCCAAAATTTTGATATCTATGTGTTGTTTTGTCTTGAAAGCTATAGTTTTTCATTTACATCATTATATTTTTATTGCACTCGACGTTATGCTAGAACATATATATATAATTTTGGCTCAATATATTTTCTTTTACTTAAGTAATCAATTGCATCTATGCCATAGCATAGGTGAACACGAAGGGCCACGTTTTCACTTCCACTTCCAATTATACCATCAAAGAATCAACAAATATAATGAAACATACTGCATACCAGTGAATTTATATAGTGTATAAACACTTCATTGTGCAAATTTTGTTAAAGTCGAGACCAATAGCACACAATTAATCAATGGGAGAAACATAATACCCTATCTTTTCGTTTCTTTCATTTTTATTTTTTTCTCTTCTTTCTTTTTTTGTTACTTTTTCTCTTTCTCATCCTTATCTGCTAGCTTGGCGTCAGAGTCACATGGCCTCATCCACTCACACCCCGAGGTCTCCAACTTCGTCCGCCTGAAGCCTTGCAAAGCACTACTACAGAAAACTTTACCGAGGTGGGCAAAAACGATTAACCGAGGCAGGCATCACATCCGCCTCGGACAAAAGGTTACGGTAAATGGGACCTTCTCCAAGGCGGTTGGATGCCCGCCTCAGTAAATCGAATAAAAAAACAAAAAAAAGGAAAACCTCGGATAAGCCCGGCGAGCCCATCCATGGGCCGCCGCCGCCGTTGCTCGCTGGATCGGGGCGTCGTCGTCGTCGTCGTTGTCGGATCCGCCGCTACGGGGGCGCCTAACATGGATCTGCTGTCGGGAGGCGCTTCGATCTGCTGGGGCCGCACCAGATCCGCGCGAAGCCACCGCCACGCGCGGGGATGGCTAGATCCGGGAGCAGGGGTTGGATCTAGGCCACGACCGCCGTATCCGCCAGCCGCCGCGTGGATCTGAGCACCGCGAGGAAGAGAGACCGCTCCACCGCGCCAAGCCCGCTCGGCCACGCCGCGCCGCCCCCGCGAGGTCCGCCTCCGCCGCGCCGCGCTGCGCCGGAGGGAGAGTGGAGGGAGGAAGAGAGTGGTGGAGTGAGAGGTGAGGGAGAGGAAGCCTCGGTGAGGAACGGGCGTGGGGGGAAGGAATGGGAGCCGCGTCGGTGAATGAGAGGTTAGGGCGAGGAATGAGAGCTGAAACCCTAAGTCACAGTATATATAGTGTGGGCATGAAAATGGGCTGGTTTGGGCTTTTTCATTGCTAGTGGGTTAGGTCACGATTAACCGAGGCGGGCCTTATAAGTGGCCCTCCTCGGTTAATAGGGATATTTTTGGAGGTGGGCTTCCGTTAATAGATTTTAGAAGGCGATTATTTTTTAACCGCCTCCGTTAATCAATTTTGTGAGGGGGTTGTTTGTGACCGCCTCCGTTAATCCCATGCATTAACCGAGACGGTTCAAATATCCGCCCGCCTCCGAGACCATTTTCCAAACGCCTCACAAAAGTTTTTTTTGTAGTAGTGAAGGCGGCCATGGAACCCTGACGGGCTAACGGTCACATAACCCCGGCGGCCACGAAGCCCCGACGCGACCACGAACCGGTAGCTCCACGCGACGGCATCCCCACAGCCTGGCAGGTACATGCGATGGAGCCCTAGTGGCCGCATGCCCCAACGACTTGGAAGCCTCGCCCGCATCGCCGTCTCCTCTCTCCTCGATCTCGCCCCCGTGTCGTCGCCGTCGCCCATCCTTGCCTCGGTCTTGCTCATGTCACCGTCTCGTCTGGTTGCCCCTCCGTTGCCCAAGCCATAGTCTCCACATCTCGTGCCATTGTTGTTCCGGTCTCTGCATCTTTTCGCGCCGCCTCGCCTGCGCTGATATGGTGCCTTGCATATTTGGTTTAATTGGTGTTCAGTTTAACCCAATTTATATTCAGTTTATTTATTGAGTTATTTTATTGTATTCGATTCGATTTCTCTAGTGCATCCGTATTTATTTATTGAGTTGTTGTATTGTATTCGATTTCTTTTATTGGATTTGTATGTGGAGTCCATCACGTTGGAGGTGGGGACACAAATCAAGGAAAGGAAATTTATGGATATAAAAGTTATTAAAGATTAGATCCAAACTGAACGGAACTTTGAAAAGAGGATTACTGGACAAGAAATCAGAATCCGAGTAGAAGTCGGAGTTGGACGAAAAAAAATTGTGATAGAAATTTTACTTCTTTATTGCTAGTTATAGATTCGACCAATTTCGCAGCATGCGCCGTCTAAGACGGAACAAGTAGCGTCGTCGTAGACGTAGTTGATAACACATGAGCTCGCAGGAAAATAAAATGACACGTCGCTGTACAAGATACTACGGAACATCTTGCTAGCTCCGCATGCTTATGTGTTGCTTCCTCGATGTTATGACTGAACGAAGATCTAAAACTCAACTTTCGTTGACGAGGTCACTGGTTTATCCTCGCCTGCAGTGCCTTTCTTACAAATTGCAGTGCTCGACCACTAAATTGCAGCGTTGTCGCCCGATTGCTTTCGTTACACTTACACACACGCACCACGCCAAAGGAGTTTTTCATACAAGTCCTTGCAACCATACATCCCCCCTAGAAACTACTTAAGAAACATATAGGACAAAGCGGTGGTTTTGCACTGCGATTGTTGTTAGAGCCTCTATCAAGTAAATACTCAATGCAAACTATACTTGAAAAACAGAGTCACAGGCGCGAACTCAATCAACTCAGAACTCACCATGGCTCCGACGTCGAGACCCGGCACACACGGAGGTCGGAACGACCCACCCATAACGCGGGATCACCTCCTGGCGCCGGCGGCGGCCTCCGCGCCGAGGCCCAAGCAAGTTCCCCGCTCACGCCGTGGCCCCGCTTAATGCCCGCCGGGCTCTGGTCGTCGTCGTCGTTGCGGCCGCAGAAGAAGCCGAGACGGACAGCCCGGCGCTCTCGGCGGTGTGGTGGGCCTCGAAGTCCAGCGACTCGTCGCGATTCAGCCGCGCCCGCGCGTGCATCGCTTCCGCAGGGCCACGAGGCGCCGGCCGCGCCCGCGCCCGCGCTGGGCCCGAGGACGACGCGGCTGTCCGCGGCGCCGCGGCTGTTGTGCCATATGGCCAGGCAGTAGGACGCGGAGCACAGCATCGCAGCGACCAGGAAGGTGAGGAGGTCGCCGCGCGTGAGGGTGCGCCAGCGCCACCATCTGCCGCCGCCGGGGCGCCTGCTAGGCGAGACGGTGCTCGGCATGGACGGCGACTTGGCGAGGGAGTAGGAAGAGGGGGACGACACGAGGCGGAAGAAACGGAAGAGAGGACCGCTGGCTGTCTCGAGCGGCGAACGTGTGTTTACGCGCGCGCGCGTAATAGTGCAGGTCGCTTTTAAGGGAGGCTGGCGCAATAAACAAAAACCGGAGGTTTTATATGGTGTAGGCTCCAGTTAAGCGAGGTGCAGACGACGGTGTTCCAAGGGTAATGAACATATTTGGTGCTTATTTAGATATATAATGACGCGTACCCGCTATGTTTATTCTTACCGTGTTGACTAGGTAGTATTTATTTATTCTCTTAATGATGCGAGGAGTTATGTGTTCGGATACACGGATGCTTCCTAAATTCATCTTTTGTATTGTTGTATAGATATAAATAAATCCACGATGTACTAATTTGTGTTTAGTTATAGTAATAATATACTAATAGTCACGGTATAAGAGGTCTGTTCGTTTGGTTGAAATTTGGTCTATGCTGATTTGTTGTGAGAGAAAATCACTGTTTATTCGTTAAAAAGCACTGTCGAAGTAGTGCTGAACAACAGGCCGAATATATATATAGCCTATACTAATCTCAGTTTCCTTCATTCATGTTGAGATGAATCGTGGCGTCAATGGATTGGGTCTCCCTCCGCGAATATCCGCCAAAGAAAGAGAATATCTAGGCTCCTATCTCCTGCGCGAGAGCTGCGACCACTACATTATGTACTGCTACTAGTGGATTTGAGTTCATCAAAACTTGGAATTGCAGGATTGACCCGTTCTGGGTCACGTCACTATCATGGCGTGCGCGGGACGACCAGGTTTGGACCAGTCGTCGGGTCAACTCACACACCCTGGGTCAGGTTTTTTTTTTTGTTGTTGCTGCTGCTGCAAACTACGAGTCGCCAGATTCCAATTCAGCCCGCATAGACATTGGCCCAGTTCGGCCTGGGAGGCTTTGTGAAGAGCAGAGGCCCATGGATTACGAATGGCTTTGTTGTAGCCCATTGGGTCACAAGAAGAAGCCCGCAATGAGCCAGGCCCGAGAGCACGTTATTCGCAATGACCTGACAGTACGTTCTTCTCCAGGCACCCATGTCACAAGCAGGAAAGGAAGGTTCGAGTAGGAGCTGTGAACGAGGTGTGGACGACTAAGGCTCTGTTCGGACTGGGGGCCCGTGGCGAGATGCGGGTGCGGCGATCGAATCCCTGCCCGCCTCCTTATCACAAAATCATTGCGCGCGCGGACACCGCTGGCCGCACAGGCTTTATCAGTTATCACCGTACAGTACGTGCGTGCCTAGCCGGCGGTCCCGGCCGGCGTGGCGTTTTCCGTTTCTGATCATCGGCCAGCTGCGCTGGGCCGGCTGATCGATGGATGGAACTGGTTGATCAGCTAACAAGGCGTGATGGACGGTCCCGGCTGCCTTGCCGGCCGGCCGGCGTGGCGTTTTCCGTGCCCGATCGATCGGCCAGGTGCGCTGGCTGGGCCTGGGGGCTTTGCGGGGGTCCCGTCGTGTCGGATCCCGACTGATCGATGGATGTACACTTTAATGGTTGATCAGCCAACGAGCTCTTTATAAGTGTACGGCAACTTGTTTTTTTTTTGCGAGTACGGCAACTTGTCGCTCGGTCGTACAGTAGGGAGAAAAATATCTTCCGGTGAGGGCGCGTTTAGTTTCAAAATTTTTTGGGTTTTGCCTATCCCATCTAATTTTTGGACGTATGCATAGAGCATTAAATATAGATGAAAAAAAACTAATAGTACAGTTGGGTGAGAAATCGCGAGACGAAATTTTCGAACCTAATTAGCCCATAATTAGACACTAATTGCCAAATACAAACGAAAGTGCTACAGTAGCTAAACCCAAATTTTTTCGCGAACTAAACGTGCCCTGAATCTGCACGCGTTTGTCAGGTCCAGGATGAATCCAATTCGAATGCGACGACAAGTGGCTGCGACAGAGTAACACGAATGAATGATTTGGGTGTTGATGTATTGCTGTTCGGATGATACAGGGATTTTTGAAATAGGCATTCAAAAGCACGTACTCCTAGTAACTGAAATTTTCAAGTGACATGCCTTCCCATCCGAGGATATTTCTTGTGTTTACCACAAAAAAAAAAAATCCTGGACTTGCATTGAGATGAGGATTTCTAGAGCCACCTGAGATAAGGCTCTGTATCCATTTGAAAAACCAAGGTGTTTTGAGTTCCAAATATATGACCAGGTGTGTCATGCACATTTGACCGTTCCGGCTTCTGTAGAGTTGCGTTCAGTTGCTGTAGCGCTGGTCCCTCGAAAGCTTCTTGAGAGAGGCGATTCCATAAAAAAAAGGATTGAATCTACGAGCCTTTGCCTTACTTGACTCCAGGTTAGAAAGCAAATGGTCATGGATGCATATGTTTACGGTTGAATATGCATTACCTTAAGGCCATGCAATATCCAGTTTCAGTACGACTTGCTTACATAAAAGGCTGTACATGTGACCACCCCATCATCATCAATTTCCGTTTCCTACCTTTCAAGGTATTGTTTAGAAACTAAAGGGTTAAATCCAAACTCGTAGAAAATTTTAAACTTGCGTCTGAGCTAGAAAGCCTTATTTTGTATTTAGATCTCTCCCTTCCATGTACCTTCCTTAGGGCATGTTTGGATGAACTAGGACTAACAACTGTTAGTGTTGATCTCATCTAACTCGGCCCAACGGTCGAGTCGGGCCTTGATCCAGTGCCCTGATCGGGGCATCCAACCAAACCGAGGTTGATGGGTCCCCGTCGCGCAACATTATATAGAGGGAGGTGGGGGCCAGGGCGCAGACAAGAGGTTCACCAGAGCCGCCAGACGCCCCCACCTACTTTCTAACCCTAGACCGATCGAGAGGGGGTGCTGCCAGCGTCGGGAAGCGCCACCACCACCTCTGCGCCACGCCCGACGTTTACAACACGTCGGACTCCACTGCGTCTTCTACCCCGCCGTCGCCGCCATCGGATCCACCACCGCCAGACGACGCCACCGACTGGACCTCGACATGGACGGCTCATCCTCCTCCAAAGTCGACGGTCAGCCACTCCTACATCTCCTTCTCTCACTACATCTCCTTCTCTCACTGTCTCCCTTTTTGTATCATGTTATAGGTCGAATTGAACTAAACCAGTAATGAATTCACCATCTAATCTACACCTAGATGATCTTAAGAGACTAACAATAGTATCCGAGCCATTGATCTAGTGTGTAGATCGTGTCAGGGGTAGCGGTTTAGAAGACGATGAGACGGATCCGATTCGGATCGAAACAGAGGGTTCCAAACCCCAACCCTAGAAGGGGAAGAACAACAGAACAAAGAAGGTTCGATTCGGCCCGATTCGGATCGACCCACACTCGAACCCTAACCCTATCCCGTCGGGGAAGATGAACAGTAACCCGAATCCTAACCCTAACCCTAACCCCAGATCGGACCAGCTCCGAGAAGAATAGAAGAAGATCCAAACAGAAAAGATCAAGGGGAAAGGGGAAGGGCAAGGGAGGTGGCTTACCTCGCTGGCCTCCACTCACTGGATCACCCCAGGAAGGGCCTCCGCGATGGTGTACTACAGGCGTGCTAGGGCGACGCGGCTAGGCCGCTCGACGGCGACGCACTCACCCGCTGGGGAAAGCGCGCGCCGGCGAGGGGGCCAGCGACGGCGCCATGATGCCTCCACCGTGGGCTCACTCAGGTGGCTCTCTACGCTCACTCGCTCGGTGTTGAGCCGCTCAGAGAGAGAATGGGGAGAGAGGAGTGAGTTAGGGTTCGGGGAGTGGAGCCGCGTGGGGTCAAGGGCAACACCGCTAGACCGCTCGATGGCGGCGCCCTCACTCTACGGTGGGTGCGCGCACCGGCGAGGGGACCGGTGGCAGCGCCGTCATCTCTGACCTCCATGTTTTGGGTGAGAAGGGAGAGAGAGCCGGCTCGGCATAGGGAGAGAGATCCATCTACGGCGAAGAGAGAGGAGAGGAGGGTGATGAATGGACCTAGGGTTTCCACCGAAGCGGCCGTGGCGCGATTTTGATCGGACGAAACGTGCGGTGCACCGTTCGATGAGATCCGACGGTCGGCAGAGATCGGACCGGATTCGGCCCAGGCAGGTTTGGGGAATCCTGGCCCAGTCCTAGGTTGTGGCCTGGGCACGCAGACGACGCAGCGCGCGTGACTGACTGGGCCGCATTTCGCTGCTGGGCCGCGACAGTGCACAACGCGTGAGAGGGTTTCGGCCCAAAATGAACAGTGAACTCTGAGTTTTTGTTTTATTATTTTCAGAAGCAAATTTCGATGAGTTTTGTCAAGTTTTGTATCTCTATCAAAATTTGAACCAACGGGATAATTTTTTCAGAGAGTAGATGAGTAAAGTAAAATGCTTCTGAAAAGTAGATAAATAATTTTTTCATGTTTCCGCTACAAAGTTTAATGTTGATTATGTTCTAATTAAATTTGAACCAACAGGAGAATTTGATTTGAAGAGCAGTTATATTTAATAAATTATGATTATATTTATCCTCTAATTAAATTGAAACCAACGGAAAAAATTTAATTAGAGGAGTAGTCCATTTTTTGTTTAAGTAAGATTATGGTATTGTCATATTCTGACCAACGTTGATGATGATAATATTATAATGAATTTAAGTTTGAAGTTTGAATCTCTGATAAATTTTACACCAATGTGGTCAATTCTTCAGAGAGTAGATAAGGACCAAGAAATGCTCTTGAACTAAAAGAATGTACATTTCATTATCAAGTTTCTACTGCAATGATATAGATTATCTTCTTTAATTAAATATTAGCCAACAGGAGAATTTAATTTTGAAGAGTAGTGTCGGTGTTTCGAGTTGCCACCAACGAGTAAATTTCTAATATTGCGCGTCTAGACCGGATGGTTTGCTAAGAGAACACGATGTTTATATTGGTTCGGGCAGAATGTCCCTACATCCAATTCGTAGCTGCTGCTCATGTTACTAGCACTA